AATATGCGCAAGCTGCAGCATTAATGCGCAAGGGGAGAGATTGCTATTTTTCGTGAAGAACAGAACAATAGAAGCTTCCAGCACTCTGCAGGTGGTAGTTTTCGAAGGATTTTGATAGGGAAATCTGAGCCAGCCACTATTAGGAAGCATCAAGAAATTCCCGGTAGGGAAGGTGTAGAGCACCGCGGTTGATCGTTGCCGAATCCTGGCCACGCACCAAGGGTTCAACCCCTCCAAAGAAACAATGCACACTACTGAGGCATCAGCAGTCGCTTGTCAAAGGGCATTTGGTAATTAGGATAATGAGGAATGTATTGATGTATATTGTTGGACATTTGCATGGTCTGAGCCTTGAAGGGGTTCACGCTCAGCTGTTTTGATTCAACGGGGAGAAAGGAAAAGCAAGGAGAACCTAGCAAATGGATGAGCACTCATGGACTACAGTGACTACAGATGCAAGCTTTGCCAAGCCTTCTGCGCAGCAGAAGCCTTCAGCGATAAGCAGCGTAAAAGGCTCCGGGCTGGCAAGACGGGCAGTTGCGCTGGTTGCCAAGAAGACATCTTAGCGCTGAAGCGAAGCGCCTTCGCTGCGCAAGAGCGGAGCGCTGACGGACAGCTAGAATCCGTCTCCGCGGACAACTGGCGCTTCTGGCAAGAGGGCTTGGCCGCGCTGCCTCGTGGCCACGAGATGCTGAGCCGCTGGCTACAGAAAGAGCTGCGTCGCTCTGACTCGGAAGCTGATAGCGCGCGCGTGGGCATGGCCCCAGCCTGGCTCGAGGAGCTGAGAGCGGAGCGAGTCTTAGCCTATGATGCCGTGGCCTACCCGTTCGAGCCTACGATTTGTTTGCGATTTTTCAGTTTTCGCAAGACTCTTTGAAGAATGTCCTCTAAGGCTGTCTAAGGGAGCAATGTCTAATGTTTGCAGGCTCAAACAAATGCAAGGAGCAGCTCTTCTGCGCCATGTTCGAGACCTCGGACCTCGCTGGGCTGCACAAGGCCCCTCTGAACCAGGTGCCTCTCTGCCCGACGCTTCTGCGAGCCTACCACTTGGCCGGCCTCAAACGGCCCAAGAGTTGGCGCCAGAAGGAGAAGTGGCAGAAGCGCTACGTGCAGAGCTTTCGGCGCAGCGCCCAATACCTCTGCTTCCTGGAGGTTTATCATCGCTTCATGCTGGAGCTGGTGGTGCCGATGCTTGGACACGAGCTGCTCTACCAATGCCCGCCTACTCTGCGGTGCCAGATGCCGGGAGTGGTTCCTATGGGCAGGCCACATAGAGACTCCGACTTCGCGGCGCACCACGGGGCGGAGATCAACTTCTGGATCCCCGTCACGCAGGTCTGGGGCTCCAACTCCCTGCAGACGGAGAGCGCGCCGGGCAGAGAGGATTTCCATCCCTTGCAGCTGGGGCCGGGAGAGCTGGTGGTCTTCAACGGTAGCCGATGCCTGCACTACACCCTTCCAAATGAAACTGACAGCGTACGCGTGTCCTTCGATTTCCGCGTCATTCCCAAGAGCCTGGCGGGAAACTGGCGGCACGTGGTCAAAAGCACCACTGCGAGTGAACTCGCTCAATACGAGTTCATTTGCACGGAGCAGCAACGTGACCTCTTGGCGTCGAGAAAAGAGATCAGCCACGCCAACGGATCAAAAGACTCATGCAGTCAAGCAGCCGCCCAGAATATCATTACAGCTAGGTAAGATGGAAATCGCTACGCGAGTTGTCCTATCGTAGCCCACGCAGCTTTCAAGTGGAAGTCTACGGCCACCTTTGGATAGCCAATACGACTGCCATGAAGAGCAACACCTTAGCACTTGGACATCTTCAAGCCTTCCTGGGCCTACTTTCGAGGCTTCGACATCTATGAGTCTATCTTGATATGACCCTATGAACATAAGTGTCCTTTTTGGGTTAGTTTGGTTAAAAGTAGATGGCACTGGTTTAGATGGGTTTTATTCCATTTATCAGGGCCGTTTGTTTCTATGCCTATGAATCTATGCCAATTTCGGAGTCGTAAAGTTAATGAGATCACTTCACAAGCCCTGAGATCACCTTATTCTGCAGGCATCATCCTGCCTCCAAGGAAATTGAGGAATGGAATTGGCACGACAGGATCTTCCTTGCGGACGTCCTAATTTTTCAAAGAAATGCTTCATAGGTTGCGTTTTCCTTGGCTTGCTACTGGTCGTGCTTCGACCATGTGTGTATGTGTGTGTGTGTGTGTGAGAGTTTTCAGATATGCTGAATAGAGCTACGCCGCTACGTACTATACACTTGTTCATTGTACACACTTGTATGATAAGATGTATATATTACTTGATGACAGTATATAATATCATCTCATGGTCCAACTCTACACAGGTGAGCTTGGTACGGCTGGTAGCTGCCAGCTTTGGCTGGCTTTTTGGCACGGCCCCCTTCCCGCAATGGGAGCTACTGAAGCCATGACTCGAGACTCTAGTAGCGTGTTGCTCAAGCACAGAAGAACTGGAACCCAACACCGGCAGCGTAGTTTGTCTTTGACCAGTTGGCCACTGCACGTTCTTTGCCAACAGAGTGGCGGACAGTCCTTTCAAAGCCTTCACACTCTGCCATGCACTTGCTGTTGATTCGTCATGGGCAGTCTGGGAACAACCTGCTCGAGGCCTTCCATCATTACGACATTCTTCGGTCCTAGAACGCCCTGAGCACCTGAGGCGGAGCATGGAGCAGGCGATGCCTTCTACAACAAAAGGTCAGTGGACCCACCGCTGTCCAAGCTGGGCGAGTTGCAGGCCTCTTGCGTGGGGGCTGTCTCATTGCTTTCAATGGCCATCAAACCCATCAAAACAGTTTGAAATGGCAATCAAAACATGTTGTTGGTCTTGCTTTCAATGTCCCCAAAAGCCGATCTTTCAAGTGTCGTTTATTCGGACATGAAGTGTCGTTTTCTCCCCACCTTTGGGTTTTCTCGCCTTTCTCTGCCCCCAAGCTTCCAGGAAGCAAAGGATAGGAACCTGTTAGGGTGAGCTCATGTCTTGGCGAACATTTCCCTTCGCGGCGTTGGCTTGGCGCCGAAGACAAAAACCGGCGAGGCTCGCCTCTTGGGGCTGCGCCTGGGTGCACAGCTCAGGAGGCCTCAGCGAGCTTTGGGTGCCCCCAGAAAGACGGCGGTTTACAGGGGCTGTCTTTTTTGGGGGAGTCCCAAACTTATGTAGAGCTGACTAACAAGCCCACAAGCCCACAAACACACACATGGCCATGGGTCAAAACCAATGGCACTATTTTGGGGTAGGTGCACCACCCATTTTAGAACCTACTTTAGTGGGGAGTGGGATGTTCACTGGGGGTACGGGCTTTTGACCCATGGCCAAGTTGGTTTGTGGGGGCTCGGTTTTTTTGGGGGAGTCCCGTGCAAGCTTTGTAGATCTGACCAACAAGCCCACACACACACACACATAGCTGTGGGCCAAAAATAGGTACCACATGGAACCCTAGTAAATGGAAAAATGGACTAAACCTTGCGGTCCCTGGTGGTTTAATTTTGACTCATACCCACATGTTCAGTGGAATCTTAGGCAGCGACACCCCGGACAGTTTCGGAAGGAGTTCTATGTTGATTTGCAGGGAGAAAACGGATCTAGTGTCCGAAGATGGCAAGGAGAAACACACTTTTCTGGCTGGCATTGAGAAGGAAGCCAGCATGACAAGCGTTTCAAGGTCCAATCTCTATCTCTAGAAATCAGGACATATCTGGACAAGGGAAACAACAGAAGCCAACGACTTCGGGTTCCCAAGGTGGTTTGTTGGAAAGAGCCACGTGTGAAGGACGGTCGACCATTGGCATTTCGGAATCCGGGAGGTCAAAGCCAAAGGTGAGATTGCTTTGCAGCTCGATGATGACTGGCCCTCAGGGCAGAGAGTCCCAGTGGAGTCGAAGTGAGACAGCTGAGGCGCGCGCTTCAAACGGTGGCGCCGTTGGCCAGCGCTCTTCAGCTGCCGGTCACGGTCCATCCAGACGTCCATGAAGTTCGGGTGGGGCATGGTGGGGCGGAGGCATTGAGCTCGGCTCGTGCGGCTGCGCTGATTGTCAGGGCTTCTTCCATGGCGTGGAGAAAGCCCCAACCTCAGATTCGACGAGTCACGGATGACCTGAAACGACCCGCAAAAACGACCTGAGAATCGGAGAGTTGGGATTTCGATTCGTGGATTCCAGGCACGAGGCATGGGCCGGTCGCAGCTGGAGCGGCAGTTTCCAGGCCGCCATGAGCTTTTTTTACGACACCTCAATGGAGTTTGCCAGGCTTTGATGGGCGCCTTGTGCCCGAGGAGGGGCAAGGCTCCGAGACTTGCGCCGAGGCGCGAGCTGCAAACTTTAGCCATAGGCTATGCCATAGGTGTCCTTTTTAGGTATAGTAAAAAATTGAAGGCTCTGGTTTAGATGTTTTTTATTCCATGTACCAGGGCCATCTATTTTTCCAAAAGGACACCTATGGCTTCAGCGCGAAAGCTCTGAGCGTGGCCGTTGGTCTTTCAGCCGCTAGGCCACTGCCCGTGCGCGCCGCGTCATCGCGATGCTGCAGGGCTGGGCCTCTCAGGGCGACGAGGTGCCATCGCCGCGCGTCCTAGCCGCGAAGCCGCAAAACGCCAACTGACGCGAGGAGATTGTGGTGATGGTCTCGCACAACGACTTCCTTGACCTCTTAGGGTGGCCCATGGGGCGGGTCGTTGCCGCTTGGGGTTTAGTCAAATGAAAGGGTATATACATATTTATATTATATATGCAATATTGGAGCTGCATGTACTTCAATGCTGTTTGGCAAGCATACAGGAGTTCGCTTCTTCTGCTTCCTGTTGTTTGTTCTACAGTCTTCGCATAGGCATTCGCGTATGCTTTCAAGGCATGTTGAATGCGCTGGCCTTTTCCATCTCATTGCTTGCAGAGGCTTCCGCGTAGGCATGCAAGCAGTGGGAAACGCCCAGAACCACCAACCATGCCGACTTCTCAAGTGTCCCTACCCTCCCGCTTTTTAAGATGGAACCTGACAGGGGCTCCCAACAAAAAAGGAGAATCGTCTTCCAGGACCCCTCCTCTCGGGTTCCATGTTAATTGGTGGGAGGCTAAATGTCACTAGTCCATGACCGTTTGCTTTGTCCCCTAGAGGCGACTTCTCCTGGTGCCGGGCGCGAGTGCCAGTGATGCAGCAGAGGACTCCGAGGAAATGTTCCGCGACAGCCGCCTGGCAACAGCCGATTTGGGGTTCCCACGCCCTACCGGGCCCCGAAAACATGGCAAGGATTTGGCTGTGGGTCAAAACCGTTTTGGGATCCCATTTTGGTTGGTAGGTGCACCACCCATTTTAGAACCCATTTTGGTGGGGATTGGGGTGTTCACTGGGGGTACGACTTGGATTTTGACCCATGGCCATTTGACTCTTTGCATGTGCTAGTCGACACGTGCACCTGCAAGTGCTCGCATCGCGAAGCTCTTAGCGCCTAGATGCGATCAGGCTACTGGCCAATGAACAATACCGGCGTGAGTCATTTGATCATGGGTGTGAGGCTCGGAGAGGGAAGCTTCTTGCGATCGCGTCAAGACCGCCACAATCGCTGAATCTGTGCAGGCCACCGGCTCAAGCCTATCAAGTGGGCGTTTACTTGTGCCACAGCTGAACAGGCTGTTCATGGGTTAGGGAGTTTTGAGTTTTTTCAGTCTGATTAGCGGGAGAGCTGAGGCTGTACTGGAATCGCAGCGATCACTTGGGCGAGGAGCAGCGGAGCGGCGTTCATCTGAAGAATGCAGGCTTCACTCAGTCCGCCGAGTGGGCCCGAGCGGCTCAGATTTAACTCTGAACGGGGACGCAGAAAGGCGCGTGAGACGCATCGCACGCCCGAGGTTGGCAAAGGTGGAAGCGAGTTCGACCCAGGATTCGATGAGTCGCAGGTGGTGCACATCCCGTGGCAGGCTTGCAGTGTTGGCTTGAAAGCAGTTGCACTATGGTGTGAAGTGCGCTGTTTAAAGGCAAGGAGCAGGCTGGAATTGAATAATGGACAAGGTCCAACGTATGTTTTGTCGAAGCCTGCAAGTCCTTGCAAGTGCTAGGGCTTTGCTCTTCCAGCTGGCGTGGTGGTCGCTCTCTGCGCGATCGCGTCCATGTACTTCAAGTCGATGTGAACGGAAGAAGAAGAGCCCCGCAAGAAGAGAGAGATGACCATGTGTTTGAGCTTGTTGTGGCCCATGCCGCGCAAGTCTTCGCGGCAAGCAAGCGATGAAGTGCTGTGGCTCAAGATGAGTTCAAGCGAATCCAGCAGAACTCAGGCTAATGCAGGATTCAGTTCAACTAGGACACCTACCCCAAAACATCATTCCCGGTGATTCCAACAAGAGAATTTCCTAGCAATTCTTGGCATTGACCCTGCTTTGGACGCAATCGTCCGCAAATTACCGCAAAACACCGGCAAAAGTGGCACTTGCATACGCAAAACTCAAAACGGCGGAGAACCAGAACGCCCAGATTTCCTCGAAATCTCCAGGTTGTATCGCGAAGCTTTGCCGCGATGCAGCATGGTGTCATGTTTCTCACGCACATGCGCCGCAGAGCCGGTCTCTGAGTTGCCTCCTTTGTGGCTTCTGCTTCGTCAAAACCAATGGTGCCATTTTGGGGTAGGTGCACCATCCATTTTATTCTATTTTGGTGGGGATTAGGATGTTCACTAGGGGTACGACTTGGATTTTGACCCATGGCCATTGCCATAACCATATTGGTGCAAATCCTGTCAGCCGAGGTCGACATCTTGCCTGACGGGGACCTGAATGGACTAGCTGCAGGAGATCACGCCTGGAGGTCTGCGCTTTTGTGTTGCGAACGGGTGAAGCAGACGTGTCTGAGATGGGTGGGGTGTGACCAATCAAGTTTTGTCTTGAGCAATATGGGTCTGTCTTTTTGAGGGACCCCCCTAAATGATGGTTTTCCTTTTGAGTTTCCCTTTGAAACCAGCCAAAGGGGGGTACCCTCACAAAAGAGACACCCATATCATCCATCCAAGCTAAGCTAAACATGCCTAAGACATTGGAGGTCGGTGGATATGCGCCAGAGGTGGCCCGGCCGGCCCTGATTGCTTGGCCCCTTGGCTAAGTGAAAGGTGTGCACTCGGTCTGCAACTGGGGTTCTCGTACGCTCAGTGGCCTTGCATGAATCTGAGGGTGGAGATTTGCTTTGCGTTTCAACGGCGATGCAGAAGTCGGAGGGGCAAACCGGCAAGTCGTGTGAGTACTGTACACTTGTATCATGAGATTGAGCATGCTTGACAGCCCTGGAGCTACTTTCGATCACTGGAGTGAGTGAGTGCCAACCAGCCTCAGTCGTGGCAAGCTCATGCTTCCTTGCAGTCTTTGGCCCGACGGTTGCCCGCTTAAAGCAGCATGACGATGCTTTGGATGATACCCTCGCAGCTCCTGCGTGGGCTGGTGGGCTTCACCGGCCCTGACTCCTCCCAGAGCATCGCGCTGGTGAACTTGATCCTCAGCGGCCTGGTGGTGGTGCTCCTACTCCTGGCGCTGCCCTGGCGCCGGATGCGTTGGCCGGTCCCAATGCCCTGGCACCTTGCAAGCAAGGTGTCAAACGCTTGTGTGGCCATGGGTCATAACCCATGCCTCCATTTTGGGGCGGATGAAGTTTCCGTGTACCACCTATTTTGAGGTTCACCAGGGGTTTCCTGGGTTTTGATCCACAGCCATGTCATACGATGCATGCAAAGCTGTGCTGGAGTAATCTGAACTGATCTGCATTCAGGGACATCTTCCGCAGGGCCCGAGCCTCAGTTCTGACAGATGTGCCGATGTCTCGTCTCATGGGCGCAGGTTTCGTATGCCAATCTTCGAATGGTTTGCCCCGAAGTTTACGCCATGGACAGAGCCCTCAGCTGAATAGATCTTTTGCCTTCCTTTTTTTTGTTTTCATCCGTCCGTCCGTCCGTCCGTCCATTTTTTTTGCGTTTTGGGAATGTGGCCAGACCGTGTCAGTGGGATGCAGGCGTTGTCCTGGAAGTTACTCAGCTGGAGCCGTCAAAGTTCGGAAATGTGAAAAGCGAGGACGCCACCTTGCCATTGCAAGATCTCTTAGAATGGGCAGTAGCGCATCCATACACAGGCTACAAGGGTGGCATTGCCCGCTTGGTGGGCAAGCTCTTGTGGCTGGACTCTGAGAACCCGGATTTGACTTCAGAGATCGCAGGCTTCAACGACATTGATCTCATCTACTTCCTCCAGGATGGCGAGGAGCACAAGAAGGATGAGATGAAAGCTCTCGTGGATCAGGGTTTGACGATCGGAGGTATTCCAGTCGAGGCTCAGGATGTCGAGTACAGCTATGACACCGTGGGAAACATTCTGGCCACGCGGGACCTGACGCAAAACCAGTGCATAGTTGTGTCGGATGGTGACGGAAAGGTCTTCCTGATCAATGCCAAGATCTGTCGTGACTTGGCATTATTTGTTTGTAGTGGCAGCTTGGTGGGCGCGGCATGCCGATTAGTTCACGAAAGCAAGCTCCTTTGGAGCTTGCGAGAGTTTCTATTCACCATTGACTGGACGCTTTTTCTTGTGGGGGGGGGGGGTGTCACTCGCTTCAGGCTATGTTGAGGCTCCCCCACTCCCAAACTAAATTTGTGAGAGACATCAGAGACTTTGCCAGTCGCAACCCGAACTCCGAACTGATTAGCATTTCCCTTGACGTATTCTCGAAAAAGGGCGGGCTGAGCGGCATGCGATGCTCCGGAGACTCTCAGGTGAGCACATGCTGCGGAGCATGACGGGCCCGGCGACGGCCTCCGAGGTCAGCACTTTAGACGATCGCGGCAATGTGATCGCTCGCCCCAGAGTGGTTGGCCGGGCCTTGGTCCAGTGGATGAAAGGCCGCGCACGCCACATCGAGCTCTCCCAGCACACCACCAGCTTCTACAAGCAACAGAAGCTTCCCAAGATGACGATGTTTCAGATATTCGCCAAGGCGAAAGGGAATGAGATGTACATGAAGGTCTACACCGAGCTGGTCCGCCTCGGCTTTGTGGAAAAGCAGCAGTACCCGCATGTGCTTTGGGGTGAGTGCTATGCTCACGTGAACTCTTTGATTGCCAGGCATGGCTATCGCTTGGAGCTTGAAAGCGAGTTGAATTCTGAAGCAGTTGAGCGGTGGAAGGAGGCCAAGTATGCTGAGCAGTTGTCGCGAACTCGCGTGAGCGCATTTCGGGACTTTCGCTTCCATCACTTGGTTCTGGATGAAAGTTTCCTCGTGCCATACAGCCTGGCTGATACTGCCCTTACACATAGTCTCAAAATGCACACCACAGGAGCAGACAGCTCCGAGCACCCGTCCCACGCACACCTGGCCCACCTCCGGCAAATCCGGAGCAGCGCGGCGATGCACGTGGAGGGTGGCTCCATCATCAGCCTCACGGGCTTCGAGCAGACCCAGGTGAGTCATTTGCTCAAAACCCGGTAAATGGCGCACCCAGAACCATGCAAATCAAGAACTAAGGCGGACATTTCCGCAGCTATGTATGGCAAGGGGATCGTGTTTCTTACTAACCATCTACATGGGTTTTGAGCAAGTGGCTCAGGTGGGCCGCACCTTCGAGATGGGCGGCAGCGAGGATGAGGGCAGCCGCACCCGGACTTTGCGCCGGGCGGCCTTCCAGAGCTCCAAGACGCGGGCGCGGCGCGTCGTCGAGCGCATCCTGACCTCTGGGGGCGCCTTCATGGAGCAGGACGACGAGCTGCCCGACACTGCCGACCCTCTGCTGGCGCAGAGCCTCTTTGGCAAGCTCACCTTCACGGAAGCCTTTCTGCAGCTGCTGCGAATCGGCAAGCTGGCATGGAAAGGCTTTTTGGCGGCCTTTCTGGTGAATTGCGTGGCTGCTGTGCTGTATATCCTCGTCATAAACCACTTGTTGGGCCCATTTTGGCTTCTTGCTGCTGCGGCTACCAGCCTTCTTGGAGCATGGCTGTTCATCCGATCTGCCAATGACGCAATGCTGAATGTGTTGACAGCGATGTACCTGGCTTTGCTGAACATCAAAACCGAAGCATTCACTACGAGGATGTTCTCAGAAGTGTGGAGCAGACTGGTAGGAGACACCCGGGCGCTTCAGGGCGTTCTGGAGGCGTGCAATGACTTGAGCATCGAGTCGCTGACTGTTCTCGGAACCTTGTTCGCCATCCTTGGCCTGGCGGCTTCAGCACCAAGCTGTGACAGCAAGCCCGTGTCTCAACCGCTATTGGGTTGGATCTTTAGACTTTCACTGTTTGGGTTCCCTTCATATTTCCTTTTAACCAGCAACAAGTTAAACTTTTTGCTGGGGGATCTACAGCACCCAAGGTGTGGAACGCTCTCTTCGTCGCCTTCTCTGCAGGCGCCCTCATGGCGGCCATGTCTCTCCTGGCCTGCTTCAGCCTGAGAAGCAACTCGAGGCTCACACGCAGCATGATCGGATACATGTACGCAGACATGTTCAGCACCCTCAGCAACTTCTTCGAGGTGAAGTCCATGGCCGAGAAGTTCGCCTCTGCCAAGGCCACCTATGAGGAGATCCAAGACGCCAACCTGGAGCAGCGCAAGAAGCTGACCTTAATCCATCAGCTCATGCAGATCTTCCTCAGGTACACGGAGCTGGCCTGCATCATGCTGGCCGTCTACAAGCTCTTCCACACCACGACGGCCGGAACTTCGGCCGAGTGCCTTCACAGCTACTCCGTCTTTGCTGTGTCTGTTCCCATCCTGCTCAGCGCCATACGGCGTGCCTGTGACTCGCCCCCTTTATGAGGGGTGGGTGTCAGCAGCACATAGTTGAATCAAGTCTCAGTGCTATCCAATATTGAGACCTTCTGGCCCCCACAACAGAAGAAACTTTGCACTTAGAGCCAGCTTCTGAGGCGCAGGCCAACACAAGACTTAGGGATGATTGTGCACTGAAATGTTGATCAGAAGGTCCTTTACATGGGATGACCAATGGAAAAGCCACACCAAAAATGATCCTCCCCACGAAATGGGAACGGTTGCCAATGGTCACTTGGGGGCCAGGAAGATTCCGGAAAATGTGGCGAATCTGTGGATCCACCTCCGGAGGATATCAAAAGAGTACTAAAAGATTGCCAAGCAAGCAGCAACAGGGGGAAGAACAGATGAAATCCACCAAAAAGAAGTCTCCAACCCGTGTTAGATTTTTTTTTTGATCAACCCACGTGTGCAAAAGATCCCTCAGAGAACCCCCCCCCCCCCCGGCAGTTTGGGCCTTGCAGGTGAGGCGCTGCTGCAGCTGTCCTCCTCGATCGGTTCCTTAGAGCGGCTGTTCCTGCTATCCAGGGCGTTACTGCGCATGGCGACTCCACGCTTCGACGCTCGACGGATTGATTTATTTGGCTGTGGTGGGGAAAAAACGCTTTGGGGTAGATCCCATTTTGGTTGGCAGGTGAATTCACCACCCATTTTAGAACCTTTTTTAGTGGGGATTGGGATGTTCACTGGGGGTACGATTTGGATTTTGACCCATGGGGGGATACCCTCCCACCAACTAACATGGAAGTGCACAACGCCCCTTTCTAAGAGGCAAGTAGTCTTTCCACAGGGGGTCTGTTTGTTTTTTGTTGTTTGTGCTGACTCATTGACCACACTCAAGGGATCGGAATTCCTACTTCAGTTGTTTGCTTCCTGATGCCGATGCGAGCTCAGGATGGCATCAACCAGCTCTCTGGCGACGTTGTCCTGGAAATTCCGCATGAGTTTACCTACTGCCTTGGTTCCGCGCAGTTTGGTCCTTTCGCGAAGATTCCTGCTCTCGCTGCGGCAAAGACCGGGCAGCTGAACGTCATGGCCATGCCACGCAGTTCTGGAGCAACAACATTTGCAAAGCTCCGTGGCTTCAAGAGGAATCTGGATCGATTTGGACCCCAGATCCCAAGTGATGTTTCTAGTTATGCACTGGTTTGATTGGAGATTGGATGTATGAGACCGGATCCATTTGGATCCCACGTGCTGGGTTTTTCCTCCATTCAGGCTTCTGCTGCGGATGCATGACGCTCCAGCCAAGATCAAGCTGAATGGCGAGCACGTGGAGCACTATGAGCTGGAAACCATCAACTTCTCCGTGCACATCATCGACCACGCGCCTTTGCCCTGCAGTGTGGCGCGCACGCCGGGCCAGGGCAGCTCCATCGGAGAGTACGTGCAGATGGGCTTGGACGACATGGGCATGCCGCTACAGCCGTGTCTGGAACAGGCGGGCATCTGGAGCAAGGTGGTGAACCTGCCCAACGGAATTGAAAGCACGGACTGGGCGTCCAACATGTCCAAGCCTGAGGCGCTCCGAGTTCAGCTTGCACAAGCCATCTTCCGGATCTCGCTTGGAGCCGTTAGGCTGCTATTGATTATTGACCCGCTGCGGAACTGCAACGAATGCGAGTTGGAGTCCGCGCGGATGACGTGGACGAAAGCTCTCGAACCCTTGAAGAGCCGGGTCCTTGTTTTGATTGTTGATCAGACCGGCGATCCTCGCCAGTGGACGCTGTAAGTCTTCCCTGCTGGGTTCGCAGAACCTGTGCCAGAGAGGTTGTGCGGACCTGGCGTCAGCGCCGAGAAATGTCTCACCGAAGGCAACGAAGTGCAGATGCCTTCAGGGTGCCGATTCAAGAATCGCTTAACTCGAAAAGCGAACGCGCACGGAGCGCGGAGCTCGAATGAAATCACAGCTTTGGGACAGAGATTCAAGCCGCGACCTGGGCTCGAGGAGCTGAAGATTCCATGGAGACGCGGGCGACGTGCTGGCTGACATTCGTCTTCAACCCTTTGACAGGGCTTGTCGGAGGCTTGTCAGAGAATTAAAACGAATTTATGTACCCTCCGGCTTGCATATTCCATGTTGGCCGTGCTTCATGTGATTGAGCAGTGAACCATGTGTCCTGCACTACAGGGCCTGGCCGACACTTTCACTTGGTTTTCTGGTTCACAGGGCCTTCTTTTTCAGCCGCTAGGCTCTTTTTTTAGCCGCTAGGCCGCTGACCGAGCAGTTCGACGAGGTGCGCCTTTCATGTGGCTTTAAATGGCAACACGCAGTGTAGTCAAGTGCACAAATCCTTTGGGTTTAAAGGATAAAGCTGGAATGGAACCATGTACTCAAGGTCTGAAGTATGAGGTGTTTTGTTCAAGCTTGCAGGTCCATGCAAGTGAGTACGGTGACAGTGTGAGCTTTCTCTTGCGCCACAAGGCAATGGAAAACGGCAACTTGTGCTATTCAACTATTCAGATTCCGCCACACGCTTAGCACTCAATCTCCATAGCTTTTGTGGGATGTGACTCAACGGGATGAATTGGCTGCCAGGCGAGCTTGGTGGTTGCTCTCTGCCTCTACGCGATGGCGCCGGTGTACTTCAAGTCGATGTGAACGGAAGAAGAAGAGCCCCGCAAAAAGAGAGAGATGACCGTGCGCTGTTTGTTCCGCATGTATCCAAGTACCTGATTTGAGCTTGTTGTGGCAAGTGCTACGGCTCAAGATGAGTTCAAGCGAATTAGGTGGGACTTAAGCTAAGAGCCAACATGCCTGCCACTCAGAGCACCGACTTGAATCGCATGCACTATTCAGTTCAACCAGGACGCAAACAAGTTATCCCCACATATGCAAATCATTGTGTTGCCCTTCTTTGCAGCTACATGGTGTCATGTTCTCAAGCGCATGTGCCGCTGTAGAGCCGGTCTCTGAGTTGACTCCTAGTTCGTGCTACTTCAACACCATTGGTGCATATGGCCGTGGTTGTCAAAGCCGTTCTGGGATCCCATTTTGGGGTAGGTGCACCACCCATTTTAGTCTATTTTAGTGGGGATTGGGATGTTCACTGGGGGTACGATTTGGTTTTGGCCCATGGCCATATTGGTGCAAATCCTGTCACCCAGGGTCGACATCTTGCCTGACGGAGACCTGAATGGACTGGCTGCAGGAGACCACGTGGTCCTGGAGGTCCGCGACGTTTGCTGCAAGTTTTTCAGCATGTTATGTGTCACTGGTTCGCACATCGGGGTGCCTCAAGAAAGGGAACCCCCAATTTGGCTTCCCTTTAAAACCACCCAAAAAAAGGGGACCCTCAAAAAAAGACACCCAAATAGCATTGCCACCATGTTCGTTCCCTTCATACGCTCGCTCTTGCGACATGGCGGCCCGGCCTCGCAGTGTCACAGGCTGCGTCTGGCTCCTTGCTGCAAGCGCTGCGCCTGCAAGATGGATTTTTGGCCATCCGCGCCGGGCGCGTGCAAACTTTCCAGGCCGGCCTGAGCCGTTCAATATATTGATATGAATATGTATTTATATATATATATATATGGTACCCCCCCTATATGTACATTATATGTATTATATCAATGTATAATATACACTGTGACAAGCATATTGTAGATCTATCTATCTATCTCTCTCTCTATATATGTATATACATATTCTGATTTGTGGTTTTGCTGTGGCGCCTCGCTCAGGTGGCGCGCAAGCTTCCAGCCGCCTCCAAAGTGAGGTACCCGCCTCCCTTTGCGCTTGACTCCGATGCCGGACGCCCAGGGTCAAAAAGCTCCGGCGGAGTGGCTTGAGCTTTCTGCCTCTTCAAGGCTTCAAACAATTCTTTGCCTTTTGTCTACACATCTCAAAACAGTTTCCGAAATGAATCCGCACCCAATCTTATGGACCAATGCAAAGCCAGGTTCCTTTCGGGGTGTCTTTCGGCACAGATGCGCTCCCGAGCTTCCCATCGGGGAGCCGAGGCCCTGCGGACATCGGCGCGGGCCTCCGAGCCGAGCGAGGCCGAGCTGAGCCACGCGAGCGCGACACGCTCCGAGGCCTTGGAGCGCGCGCGCGGATTTCTCGGAATGGACGAGGGGCAGGCGCGGCGCGGAAGGAGTTGAGCACGTCTTTGGGGGTTTGACAAGGCGAATGACTAGTTTAAGGTCATCGTTTTGAGGAGGTCCGTGGCGGATGCAAGTCTTCCTTTGCCACCAGGTTAGAGAGGCTCTGCAGCAATCCGGCGCGGATGACTTGCCGGTGGCTGGCGAGGCGCCTGCACAAATGGATAGGCTTGATGGACAGGCAGGCGACACATGCATGCGAGACAGGCAGGGCAGTATAGATAGGATTCGACCAGGGACAGGTGTAAGGTTTCTTCATGTGCCGCCAAAACGGACGGGCAAAAATCTATACTAGGGGGCCGGGCTCTTTTTGCCCTTGGGTTTGGTGTTTCAGGCCATTGCAGAGCGGCTCATCACCTTTTGCATCACGGGCCTGCCAGCGCCTTAGGCGTTTTCGAAGCCATGAGACTCCAGCTGCAAGGTGCTGGCACTGGCCCGTGGCAGATGCTCACAGCAGGCTCTGCCTTTCATTGACATCCTGCCTACTTGGCAAATTGCAGTGCAGTAAGTTTAAGAAGCCTTGCACAAAAAAATGTCAGGCGACTCGGCCTGAAACAGGCACGAAAGGGAATCATGTCAATGTGACCCTTCACTGCCTTCAGTTGCTAATGTGTGGCATTGCAGGCGAGAGACATGACGTTGGCCAGGGCTCCAAGGCCATGCCCGAGAAACGCTTTGACCTTGCTCCACTGACGATCACACAGACGCGCAGGGAAGTGTCAAACGTGGACGAGAGCTCAGGCGAGGTGCCGATGCCCGATTCCATTTTGGTTTGCTCGGCGACGAAGCCAGGCAACGCCTCTCCGGCATTGAAGTCAGACGGTGACAGCCTTTGACTGCCTGTGCTTGGCTCTTGCCGCTTCTGCCTCTCTTCGTCTTGTCTCATATGTAGCTTGGAGTCCAGTTCAGCCCAGGGAAAGCACGGGATGACGTCATTGCTGGAAAGATACAGGACTCCGCTTTGCAAGCGCAGCATGGACTTGTACATCGGAAGGCTTGGCACGCATGCCTCATGGTGCTTGGGCTTCCTGCTTCAAAATCTTTAGTTCCATCCATGTGAGCCACAATCAAAAGCCCGGGTAGATGAAGGTTGGTAAGGAACAGTCCCAGTGATTAATAGGCGCGGCCGCCTTTTGAATTGGTTTGGGTGCACCATTTGAACACGAGGTTTTGACCGTGAATCATGTGTATTTGTATCCACCAGGAGAAAGCAATTTCGACAGCGATCCACGTCGGTTGCCGCGGGCATCCTCCTTGGATTGTGGATAGCGTTTGCATCGTTGGACATTGCAAGATGGAAATCCCCTCCAAAACGGGTTGTTTTCGTAGTTTACCGTCCCAAGGGGAGCCATTGACAAAATGGTGATCATTTGTTTGTGGCTCGCTTCAAAAACAGCTCGAAAGCAAAAACAAGGAACCCTCCAGAGAAGACACCTTTGGGGTTTGTCTGGGAACAGAGAGATCCTCCAAGGCACTTTCCCATTTCTCTAGAAATGAACGGAATCAAGGGGCGCCCGGGGTAAACAAAGGGGGAAACCAAAGGTGTCCTCCAAAAGAGACACGGCTATGATTTTCAAGTTAAGTGGAACCCCCAAAATGGTTGGTGAACATGACCCGCCATGTCAATGATGTCCACCCTTGGGGGTCCTCTGCGCAAAATCCATACCAGACCCAAATGGCTGTGTCTTGAAATAGGGGGCCCCCAAAGAGGTACTCAACAAAAACACAAATTTGCTGGTACTCAACAAAAAGCATAAATTGTTGGTACTCAACAAAAGCACAAATTTTGTTATTCCCTGGCACAAGTGTTCCCAAGGTCTGCTGCAAGGGCGGCAGGTGCTGCCGCGGCGATGACGGTAGAGGGCTATGCGCCAGCCTGGCTTCGAATTAGCGAGTCAGAGCCTGTCAACTTGGGGTTGGGTTTTGGTGGGGCAAGCCGTAATTATAGCCTTTAAATTGGGAGCCCGCGGACATCATTGCACGTGAGGATTGAACCGAAGTCCATAGACTCTCATGGATGTGCCTGTTTGTGGCAACTCTCCTCCCCTTTGAGGGTTGGTTTCACAGGTGCACTAGCAGTAAAACAACCCTTTCTGGAGTCCCGCCATTTTGAGACAAACCCTAGTGGGATTCCCATGTTTGACACCAGCGCATCCCGCTGTACACCTTGCATTGGACACAAAGGCGTTGCAGATTCATGGCGTCATGGCGGATGAGTGGTTACGATGTGCGGTGAAGAAGGGCAACTTGCAAATGTACACGACTAGGTCTTGCCGGCTTGACAAATCTCGTTCTCCTTGAAGCTCTTCTCAGTCTGGGCCTGCCAGTCTAGAAACCGGTTTGGATGTGGCTTTTGTGTATCCACCCGGGTAGGATATTGAAAGAGTACAAACAGATGACTCAAAAAGAAGCAACCCGGGGAAGAATAGGTGCAATCCGCCAAAAGCGCATCCAAATCGTTTTCCAGAGCCAGGCTGTACAAAGAAATCGGGCGGCATCGCGATCAGCTGGATGGCAAGAACATCAGTTCGGACCAGTTCGCGGCGGCTGCCTTGGATTCACACGGCGGCGGGCCTTGCAATACAACGCAAAGTCCACTGTTCTCAACCCCCCCCCCCCACCAAAGGGTATTTCAAGAATCCTATAATAGCAATGTCAGACACATGTGCTGGTCCGTGCCATTACCCATCCCTTTGGGCAAGGGGTTTGGGTTTGAGGAGAAGGTGTGCGAAAGCACCGTCAGCTCTTCCGGGAGAGCCATTGGCAGCCTGGCTGGCGCTGCGATTGGGCAGGTGCGGGGCGTGGGGGCGGGGGGGCGAGGGGGGTGGTTCGATGTCAGTGAGTGAAAAAGCCAGGGATGTCCGCCTCCAGTCGGAGGGATAGAAGGGGTTCTGGCAGGGATTTTGGTAAGACTTTGGGCGCAGAGTCGCAGAGGCTTCCATTCCAGTTCCTGTCGTCGGTGCTGTGATTGGTGGAGTCGCAGGCGCGTGGGAAAAGCCTCGTCGGTCAGCACCGACTTGCATGAGGTCCTTGACATGGTTGTTGTTGGGAAACATTTTGACATGTTTGCTTATTGTGGTTTAGTGGGAGATCCCCACTTAATTGCTATTTTTCCTTTTTGTTGCTCCCCTTTCAACGTCAACCAAGTTTGAATCCCCCACTGAACTTGCCGCTGGCAACTGATCACTCGACACAGTAGCAGCACGGGCATTGTGAATTGGGACTTCCTTTGTTGCGTGGCAAGCGGCGGCAAAAGTACTGGTTGTTGTGAGCCGGTGTGAATTGGCATGAATTGTTTGCATACTTTTCTGGCTAGATACCACCTTAAAAGGGCTAAGGGCCGTGGCACTGCTCCAAGTAATGAAAAAGCGGAAACGCAATCCGCGCATCTTGCTTGCAGCCATCTCACTGATGGTGACACAGCAATGGAGTCGGCTTATGTTGCAAGGTCAGACATTGGGACTTGTGGTTCGAGTCTCGGCAAAGCAATCGCGAGGAGCCGCGTGCGGTGGCTTCTATGCGAATAGCTTGGTTCGCGGGGCGTGGCGACTCTCAGGCTGGCTGTTGATGTCAGCTTTGCTTCAGATTGATCGCGTCAGGTGGATCAGCCAAGGGAGGTGACGACATTGTCCGCTGCGACACCCTGCCACGCTTCACTTTGCCGGCGATGCGAATCACCGCTTTGAGACATGGGGGTTGATCAATATTCCGTTAAAGGCCCCAAAATGACCCTGGTTAACTTTTCCCATTTTGTGGTGAAAGTCATCTTTTTTCGGGGTTTCCCTAAACTGACCCCATGTATAGGACCTTTTCATCAAGCCCCACATCTTAGATATCTTCGCGAGTGAGCTTTGACCAGGTGGAGCATGCGCCAGAGCCAGATCATCCAGCACTCGCACGCGAGGCAGAGGGAAGGATAGATCACGTTGTGGCTGACGTGGCTGACGTGGCTGACATTTCTTTGTCTTTAAAACTGGCGAATTGCAAGACGTGGATCAGGCAAACCCCGAATCGTGGTTCTTGTAGAGGACAGATGGGTTGCTTCTCCTAAACCAAGCCACCAATCCGACTACCCCACCAATTGGAAGGAAGCTGAATGGAGCGAGATCTGTGAGTTTGAGCAGGAACCTGTGGCTCGGGAACCGGCTCGTTCCAAAGACGTGGGATGCAGCGGCGAGTCGGAGCCGAAGCTGACGGAGGACTTGCTGTGACGGGAATCGTAACGAAGGTGTGGGCCACAATGGTTGGCGCTGGGCCCTTCTCGCATTTTCCACACCTCAAAGAGCAGGTGCCAGAGCAGGTGCCAGAGCAGGTGCCAGAGCGTCTCACCATGGTTTGCACCGGTTGGACTGGGAAAATGCTGGGCGAGTCTGGTTTCACGATGGCGCAGGTGCGCATAGCTGGTGCGGACTGGATGCGTGCAGCCTTTGGGTCTAGGGAGTTTAGTAGCTCAAAGCAGGCATGACACATACAAGCCGGAACAAGCCATCTTCAGCAGTCAAAGACGTTGCGCAATTCGGCTACGTCCATAGAAAGTCCTGGGGTCAAGCAAGTCATGGGCACGGGTAGATGTCTAGCTCACATCTACATTGTTTACGATCTTTGTCCAAAGTCACTCATGTGCCGTATGTGCGGAACTCACAGTGCCGTTTCCGATTCTGTTCATTCTCCTGTCGCAGCCGGCACCATGTCAAGCATGACAGCGGAAGAGGCAGGGAGAGGTTTCGCTTGCGAAGACATCAATATTTCGACTCCCTCTGTGGATACATCGTTTTTTTTTTGGGGGGGGATCACTACTGTGTCTTGCGGCTTGCACAGGTGCTACTTGTGGCCGGCAAAGCAATGGGAAGATCGCCAGCGGACCTGGTGCCTATTGTGACGCGTGTGGTGAAGGCGAGCTAAACACGTGGTCCAAATGACCTTTGCCTTTTCCTCGTCTTGTGCAGCCTGACTTTGAGCATTTTACGTGTTTCCACCGTGTTTTGTGGGATTATGTTTTAACAGTCGGAGGGCTGCACGAGGCAAACCTCGTAGCACTGAGTCGCAGAAGGCTAAGAGTGTCTTCATTTGAAGTGCACGGCATCGCTAGGAGAACTGGCATGAAACTGCCGCAAGTCTGGCAGCGCTCACGGAGGCTCAGTGGAAAGAGATGGGAGTTCCAGGACGATCGTCAAGTGCGGAACGGAATGGGGGGAGCGCTTGCCGAGGAATGCGTGGGTGCACAGTGTGGCTGGAGACACAAGCATGTCTCTAGAGGGTCAGGAGTCTGTGTGCCGTAATTGCTCAGGAGCCTTAGTGCAAGAAGTGAAGAAGGTGCTGACCGGCGGAGACCGCCCTACACATCAGGCAATGGCCTTTCACAAGAATAAGGGAGTTACCTCCTTGAAATGGGGGTACGTACTACCGTCTTGTTTGTTGGGAAGAAGGGCGAGGGCTGCACCTCTTTCACTGCAAAATGCAGCTCCACATCACCCCCCAGCGTGTTCGCAGGCGCGTGCGAACTTCATGATCAAGATTGGCGACGTGCTCGAAGGTCGTCTCCTGTCCATGGAGAAGGCGAAGCCCTTCGATTTGCCAATGGCCATCCACATTCAGCACCTGGAGCGCACCTTGGCCTCGAGCTCTCGTGTCCTGGCGAAGGCCGGTGAGATTTGGCCATGGGTCATAACCTATACCGATCCCATTTTGGGGCGGAACACCCATGCACCACCTATTTTGAGGTTCACCAAGGGTACAGGGTTTCGACCCACAGCCATATGCTGTGTGCCTCGACCGGGGAAGCTCAGCTCAGGTTGCCGCGTTTTTTTTTGGCTCGACAGGTGTGCGTGATCGACAGCAAAGCTGGAACATGGACCATCTGGCAAGCCAGCGGCGTGTGTTGTGTCGATGGAGACCGCGAAGTGCTGGATCTCAACTCGATCGAGCAACTCGATGGCGATGAATGATGAAACCTGAGGCAATCGCGGCAGACATGACGTCTTGTCCTCGCTCAAATACCCCCACTCCTGAGTTGTTTTGGCCCATCATGCCCTTCGCACTGAGGAAAGTTGAGTGCTCGACGAGCGTTGCGCCATTTCAATTCAGTGGCAAGTTCGATTTGCGCTGCAAGAAAGCAACTCTGACCGGGCAGAATGTGTCCTACATGCATCACACTCAAGGCTTGGCCAGCTGTATTGTGTACATTGGCTAACAGTTGTTTGATATCTCTGAAGTACTGTAGATGCAGGCGTGCTTGAGACTCTGGCGTTGCCGCCTCTCCGAGAGGCAAATGGTTCTCCAAGCCAGCTCCGGAGCACTCCTTGTACTTGACCCTGAAGTCCTCCGAGTGTCAGCGAGATGCTGCCGCAGCCTCGCCTGCGGAGGCCAACATGATCGTGAAGCTTATGGAGGTGGAGAAGGACATGGTGTCGGCTTCTTCGCTGGCAGAGGAGCTGGATGTAGGCCTGCAGCCCTTCCAATCCCTTGATATTGCGCCTGGGCAAAGTGCTTGGTGGATGCGGCATCTCAGCTTCCGTCAGAAGGGTCACTGAAACAGCTGACACCAATCGACACCAATATCCACCGCTCCAAGACCGACACTTTTGGATTTGACGTTTTTGACCAGGGTCTTTGGACAGATTTCTAACTAGTTCCTTCACGCTTCCTGCTTTTCCCGCCACGCCTAGACTATGGTATGATATGCACGATGTGGCATGGCATGATATGGCATGGTATGGTGTGGTATGGTGTGGTATGGTGTGGGTATGCATTAGCACGTAGACTCTGGACACGGCTTCGGCGTGAGGTGCGTTCTTGGCTTCAGCGCTTGCAGCTCTCGAACAAGTCGGAGCTACCACAGGCCGCCGCCGCTACCGTTTGGCCGGGTGCGGGGGCTTTTGGGTTTCAGCTTCGAGGCCATGCTGACGGGTCCAACGGGCAGCGGCAAGAGCTATCTGCTCAACGCAGTGCTGGGACACATTGGACTCGTACCGTCGGATTGCTCCACAGGCCGGGTGCTCCGAAGCTCATGTTCTTGGAGTTCTTGAGTTCAGGCCGAGCAGTGTCAGCAGCCAATGTTCGCTGCAGCTACAGACCCTGGGTTCCGTCCTTGCAAGACGGGCCGAGCGCTGAGACGTAGCCTTCACAGGTGTACCTTTCGCGCCTGCAGAAGATGAGTCAGGCGTTCATGACATTTGAATTGAGCTGGTTCTGAGGCCCGGCGAGTGGTTGCTGAGCAGCCATAGTGCTGATGAGTCTTGCTCCTTGAATGTCCTTGGCCATAAGAGACGCTTGGGCGAACAGGGGAAATGCAGAGGGGCCAGGGCTTGCCCCGTTGCTGCGGCCGAGTAAGGATTTGGCGTGGAGATCGATCTTGTGACTCTGGACGAATGGAAACAGGAATGCGCAGAGTATGTCAGCCAACTGGCACACTATTGGCTTGAGGAGCGTTTTGAGCAGTGCCTCTTGAAGCTCGGTGATTTACCAGCCAATACCTGGCGTACTTGGATTGTCAGATTGTCAGACTGTCTAATGCTTGGCACTTGTGTTTTGCTCTCAGGAAGAAGCGACCGCAAGATGCAGAATCGGGCGCGCAGCTGGCGTGGGACAAGCTGGTGGCCGTATATTCCCATGACTCCCTTACGAGTGCCTGAAAGCTCAAAGCGGGCGCATACAAACTTTGATTCGTTTGCTCGGGGCTGCTCTTGGTTTGGCTGCGACCTGCTACAACCTGTTTGGGACTCAGAAGTTCTGTGACGAACGGCAGGTCCACCTAGAGTTTCTACGACTGACCACCGACACGGAGACAAGAGGATTATTGCAGTGATCAAGTTGTTGGAACAAATAGCCATCCAGAGAACAGAAGAAACCATGATTGCTGTGAAGTTTGAGCGTAGCTTGAGACTTGCGTGCTCCGAGGCGGGAGGAAAAGAAACTGGTCATCGGCGGACGAGTTAACCAACCATTTGAACAAGCTAGACAAGGCAAGCGTGGTGGTGAAGAAGCTGGGGAAGTCTGTGACTCGGGAAGAGAACGATGCCACGAAGTTCAGCGACTTCATCAAGCAGTACGTACGATCGGACACACCAGCTCAGAGCTCAGGTCTTGTGACTCAATCCTTGGAAGAAGAGCGTTAATCGATTCCGTTGTTTCCGTCCGGGTTCCAGCCACCAAGGCTGAGGGGCGGGAGATGCGCTATTGGCCAGTGGTCAAGGATGTCCATCTCATGGGCCCTTTCGAGCGCCTCCGGGGCTTCAAGCACCTCATGGATTGCGTGGCCTGGCAGTCACCAACCTTTTTCTAGATGCAGGGCCTCAGGTGTGTCGAACTTGACGGGCTGATGCTCAGGGGTAGATCCAATTTGCTTCGGGGTTGCGCTGCCCGTGGCGGAACCAGTTTGTGTTGAGGTTGGCTGCGGGGACAGCAACCGGGCGCGCGATGTCTTGGCGAAGAAGCGCGAGAAAGAGTCGGACGTGGTCTTTGTGGTCAGCGACATAGCGCGCTGCGTGAGCAATGCAGTCACTGTGGACCTCTTGAAGAACCAGCTCCGATCAACCTTGCTGCGAGTATCCCAGTCAGATCTTGCCTTCGTATGTACAAAGGCGGACAGGCGCTTAGTTTGTCCTTCGTGCTTTGCCTTCGCATAGCTCCCACTCATTGCTCCCCCCACTCAAGCATCTCGAGGAAGTGATCAACGAGCGGGAGGCCAAGGACACTCTGAGCCTAGGAGTTGATGCGACCATGAAGGAGTGCATCGTTTCAAGGAATGAGCAGGTGCGGAAGAATTTGAAGAAGGAGATGCGGCAGATGTTGCGTGACATGCAGCGTGGAGACGCGGACGACGACTTCTCCTGGCTCTCCTGTAGGGTCTTTTGCGTCGCGACCAAGGCCTACATGACACTGAAAGGGGTTGAAACGAGCCACTCCGCGGTGGATGACCTCACGTTGAGCGACACTGAGGTTCCCCACCTCGTGCAAGAGATTCAAGCGTGGCTTGTCCAGGGAGAACCGGCTGTCTCTTTCTCCTTGTAACTTTTGAAGGGATTTGTGAAGTGTCCCCCTTGCGTTGCGCCTCCGTCAGAACTCCGTGGGCAGGGTTCTCCGTTGGACGTCCGTCAAACGGAGGCCAGGTTGGCTTTTTGTTTACTTTGTATGTGACTTCGTGCGACTTAGTGCCTTAGCTAAGGCAGGCGTTGCGCTACTCGAACAAGAACTCCAAGCGCGTGATGACCAACCTGTTGGAGGTGGCTGCAGCGATTCGCAGCCACCTTGGGCACGGAGAAAGCCTGGAGGAGCACAAGGAGCTCTGCAAGGCAGCCTTTGAGGAGCCGCTTTCCTGACGTTAGGACTTCAGTGCATATTTTGTTGCGCCAATATGTGCAGCTTCATTGGCGCTGTTGCTAAGTGGATCTGTTCCGATTTTCCGAATCTGAGGCAGATCTCTGCCTTCAAAGCTGAGTTGGGTAGGCGCCTGGACCAGTTCGCGCGGAAGGTGGCGCAGATCTTTGACGAGGGCTTGTTGTCAAGCATCAAAGAGGGTTCCCGCGTGGCAATGCGCGGGTCAGTGAACACCGCTTCAGCCTGGCACGGCTTTCACCCCAGCGCCTACAACGCCGCTGCGCGCAAGGGCGGCATCAACCCCAATTCCCGGCGGGGCCCCATTCATTGGCCAAAAGAGCTTAGCAGACCTTGTTGCTCGGATCTGTTTCAGATGGTTCTGGCGCACCACTAGTTCTCCCCCGGTGTTTTGGGCGGAGCTAGCCGCAGAAGTTGTCGTTCTGCATCATGAGGCTACGACAGCTTCCAGCCAAAGTGGATGGAACTCTTCGGCAACCAGTTGCCGAAACTGTATGACGAATGGCAACAAATTGTGGAAGAGGAGGCGTCTGCATTTCACGATCGCATGGCAAAGCAGCTGCCGCAGATAGGAAGCCTCCAAGAAATAAGAGATGGCAGCGACATTGCTGCTTACTTGCAGAGGGTCCGCGACGACAAGGATGATGAGGAAGCCTTCTTAAAGCGGGATTTGTGTGATGAAGTCACGCAGAATGTCATTGGGAGCATGAAGGGGCCCTTTGAAGAGTGCAAGCAGATCAAGGGCAAAGGCAGCTTTGCCCTCATGAAGGATCACATCGACCGTTCAGTCCCGGCCTCAACAGTTTGCCGGTCGGAGCTCTCATTGCACGCTTTTGCCTCGTCTTGCCTCATTTTCCATTTCTTCCCACCTGACTCTCGCTGTCGTCTCCAGCCTCAGGTCAAACGGATTCAATGGGAGGCCATCACAGAGGGCCTGGTGCAGGGATGCAAGGAGTTCTATCTCAGCTTCGGCGAGATGAGGGAGGATGCCTTGGAACAGGTGCCGAAGCGACTTCACGAAGGCTCGCCGTCGGCCAGCTTGAACATTTGACTGAGCTAGCAAACGACGAAAAGCTCTATCACTTTCTGGTGCTTAGCAGGGAATGAGGGAATGACCCCTATAAACCATTCTATTGGCGGGTTCGTTGAAGGGGATCCCTGGGCTCATTCCCACATTCCCTGCCTACCGCACCAGCCAAATATCATGTTTCTCCGTGGAACGCGCGCGGCTTTCATGGAATTCCTGGTCCTTTCCCCAGGCTACCGTCCGCTTTGGCAGTCCCTGGACCAGCAGGCGCTGGCCCAGTGGAACCGTCTCAAAGAGGCGATGCTGCCGGCGGTCGATCGGATCAAAGCGGACGTGAAGGCGTTGAAGGAGCGAGTGGAGCAACGGGAGGCATGCTGCTCTTCCTCTGTGAAAGATGGAGAAGATTCATTGCAAGCCATCGAAGACATGGAAGACATCGAAGACATCGAAGACATCGAAGACATCGAAGACATCGACATGGAGGAGGAACACGAGAGTGGTTCCAACGAAGGTGCAGAGTCGGATCAAGGAGCTGAATCATGGCACTCCGATATCGGGAGCGAACCCGAGGAAGACATGCCGACAGCTTCCCCAAAAGTCGCAGAAGTTGCAGAAGTTGCAGAAGTTGCAGACCTGAAGTCAGAGGATCCGGTCTCGCCGGAGGAGGCTCCGAGCGACACTGAGACGAAGGGGCTGAAGCGGAAGCGCGAGGCAGGATCTTCCTCGGGCCGATTCGGCGCATCATGCTGCCTAGCGCTTGCCCAGCACTCGCTGCATTTTGCTTGTCCTCAACAACCATGGCATTGTCATGTGTTGTGTGGGCCCTGAAGGACACTGAAAGCCTCCGTGTCGCTGAGAAGGATACGCCGACCCCTTGTTATGCCGTCTCTTTGACGCAGTAGATCAGTCGGTTTTTCTGTACAGACATTGGGAGGGGCCTGTGGACACCTGGGGTAGAGGCCAACCGCTAGTGCCTCTGTTGGGGATGCGGCCATGTTTGCAACCGCTGCCTGAAGTGGCGACCGCTGTGGGGAGGGAGCCCATGTCAGGCAAAACTGGTGCTGCTGGAAGCTTTGCCAGCCGAACAATCTTGGGTACATCTTTGCAAGCTTTGCAACTCATTGGTACTGTCATGATTCCAGCATGTCACTGCGCTTGCACAGAGGACTGGAGGGGAACATGGCTCCACGCGAATGTGCAACGCTCCCATTCCGTGTCAGATCCACCCCCCCTGGTCTCAGCATGTTGCCATTCTCAACAAAATTTATGTTCATTCGCTGTATTTATATTTTCATCATTTCATCTCATCCCAGCTCATCTCATCACTATCAAGTTACATGACTCAAGCGCAATCAAGTTGCAGGCAACCAAACTTGGGCACGATGGTTAATGATGGTCATGGCGATGTATCAATCCTAGTCCACGATAGTCGCTGTGCTTCTGGCTCGAACATTCCAAGCCTAACATAACGTCTAAGTACACTACGCACAAACACACGGACACAAACACACGCAAGCAAACAGATCAGCAAGGAGACAAGCAGGCAACAGCATGAAGGAACTTCTGGCGAAGCTGAAGTTGACGGAGGAGTTATTGTGGTAACGAAGACGTGGCTGTGCCAGAAAGGTTTGCACATCTTGAGCAATCAAAGGTCAAAGGTGTTAGGTCAATTCGGCGACAAGTATTTCAAGTCAAAATGGTCAGACAAGTCACGGGCAGATGCCTAGCTCGGGTACCGAGATCGCAATGTCCTGGATTGGCTCCTTGCGTCAGTGAGCCATGGCACTGAGCTGGTGCGTGCCAAGACTTCGAGGACTTCAGAATTGGGGCGGAGTTGGAGTGGACAGCCCATTTCGGAGCCCAGCTGTGATTCAGACTTTTCCTGTTGAGCTTACGCCATCCAGGAAATGCAAAATGATGCTCTCATCCAGCGGCTGAAGGACCTTTGGTTGGGAAACCGGCAGGGAGTGTCAGGTAATATAGCCAGGTGCAACGCAGAGCCTGTCAAGCCTTCAGAGTGTGCACAATGCAACAGGTCATTGCACACTTCCTTACTTTTTGGATAGCTCGGTGTTTACGGAACCCAAAAGGCCCGCGTTTGTTTGGGACAGAGCGATCCATGGACCGATCCATCGGGGCCTCGGCGACCGGCCGAGCGACTGCCAGGGCGAGCTTCAGGAAGCCGCCGAGGCGGGCATCGCGGAGTGCCGCGCGCGTCTTGGCCGAAGGAAATGACTCGAAATGACTCGAAGGAGTTGGAGTCGCCGAGTGGAGAGCTGGGGTCAGGGAGTTGGGTGAGGAGTTGAGGTTGCAGTTGGGCAGAGGGGTTCGGGGGCGGGGGGTGTGGAGAGGTTGGGTTAGAAGAATGAAGTTGGGTGTGGAGAGGGTTAGGCGGGGGTCCCATTTGTCTGCCCATTTGGGACTCAAGCCCCAAAACATGGTGGTAGGGTTCCCCTTTTGTGCCCAATGGACTCACAGCTTAAGAATTGGTGTGGTTCACTGCAGCCTTGGCTTTGCGTCCTTTTGGCTATCCCGAAAACGGAACCCTGGTTGCTTTGTGGCAAGGAACGAACCACATGTTCAAGAGATCAGTTAGAGCGTTGGGCTGCCCACCTGTGTCCAAGACACGTTTGAGTTCAAATGATCAGGGTGCCACAACATGCCGATCTTGGGTCCAACCGGATCACCTTGAAGTTTTTTTTCAGACTGCCCAATTTTTGTGCCTTCCTTTTCCCTTTGACCATGTGTTCCATCAGGGCGTGGCTTTCTTTCCCTTTTTTCCGATGTGTTCCGTGACTGAGGGCCGAGGACTTGCGGAAGCGGAACGATGACCTGCAGAGCGAGCTGGTGGAGTGCAAACTGTCCCCGCCGCTGAGCACCTTGAGCACCAGCAGCGAGTGGCGATGGCCCACGCGCTCCAGCGGGGTGAAAGCGCGGGGCAGCATCACCAGCAGTGAGGGCGGCGTGGCCGGGCCGTTGAGGACGGAGAGAATGAAGGGGAAGACTCCCCTGCTGCGAAAGAAAGAGAAAGAAGGAAAGAAAGAAGACACTGGACAACAACAACAACAACAACAGCAAATAAACAGATCCACAAATAGAGCAGGGAATAGGCAGCTGAGTGTGCCTTTCTGTTCCTGTGCGATGCCTAGTTGTTGGATTCATGGCAGCAGCTGGGACTCGGTCTGATCCGCGAAATGAAGGACATGTCTGCCACTTAAGGAATTTGAAAGAGGATTTCACATAGATCCTAATGACTACAGCCTTAATTGGCTGGGTTCACAGATATATCCTCTTCCTGCTCGCAGGAAGCAGCACCTTGCAGCTCAGTTCGATGCTGATATGGATGAGTACATCCGCGAGAACGAGGAGCTCAAAGAGAAGGCTCGACATTTTCTGGCTGCGCAACTTTTCTGCATACATGGCCGTGGGTCAACACCAATGGGATCCCATTTTGGGGTAGGTGCACCACCCATTTTAGTCTACTTTAGTGGGGATTTGACCCATAGCCACATCGATGTTAGTTGAAACAGGTCACAACGCTGGAGAAAGCCAACCGCGAGCTGGAGAAGGTAACGGCAGAGATCAACGAGAATCAGCCGAGATCTCCCCAATCACCAGCAGGCCGAAACCCTCTAGCTGCTTGAATGTCAAAAAACGAAATGCTTGGCATGTGCTTTAGGCTCAGCGAAGGTGGGACTTCAGGCTGGGTGGTGGGAGTGGAAGTTGTCTGGTCTTTTCAGCTGCGAAGGTCCAACACGTCGCCCGCAACATTGCACGGGACCGTGCTGAAGAAGTGGGGCCCTCATTGCCAGCGCTTTGCTTTTTGTCGCATAGAGTACGTAGCCTTTGTAGGAGCTTAAGCGGGAAGTGGAGATCGAAAAGTGTGAAGTGGCGGCACTCCAGCAATCCCTCGAGAAGTTCAAAAGAGAGGCGCGATTTGCCTTTGCATGTTCTCGGGTCAGGATGGTCAGGTGCCGCTCACGCATTGCAGGCTGCTTTTGAGCTGCAGAAAGCGCGCGCAGAAGTGGAGGAACGAGAAATTCGATCCAGCAGCTTTGTCTTGCCGCGCAGTGCGCGCAGGAGGAGAGAGCAGCAAAGGAACGCGACATTCGAAAGACGGAGCAAGCTCGCGAGAAGGCGCTCCGCGAGTAAGACGATGCAAACGGAGTCTCCATCAGCTTTGAACAGTTTGGTCTTGGTACATGGCCCCATGTCTAAAGGTCTTGGTGCATGGCCCCATGTCTAAAGGTCTTGGTGCATGGCCCCATGTCTAAAGGGTAGTGGAGGCTCCAGAACGTTTCCAACTGTCAGGAAGTCCAATGGCTCCACAACGAGCTGGATGCGGCAAAGCTTCGCTACATAGCCAGAGGCGTCCCACGACAGTCTCCTGGGCCCAGTGAGGTGCCGGCTTTCGGCAAGCCCGAGAAGATGGCCAGCGGCTTGCCCGACGGGTCAATATGCAGAAGGTAGTCAAGTGCAATTTCTGGGCACATGTCCCCAAACAATGGGGTGCACACTATCCAAATTTCCGCTATGGGCGGGGTACTCACCAGAGTATTTAATGTTATCGAAGACAATCAAGTTGGCGGTAGCTCAAATGACAATGATGTGACACCGTGGGTGGTTGGTACTAGGCATCATGTTTCAAGCAGCAAAGTAAGATTTGATGTTCTCCACACTTTGCCTGACGCAACAGGCCCACAAGCTTGGCTGAGGCATTCTTATCGAAGAGCCTGCAAGCCTGGCGGACGAGTTGGGTCACTTCGTTTGGCCAGCTGAGGAGGAGCTGCGGGGGGGCCGCGGGAGAAGCAAAACACCGCGCTTTGTGTCAGGTATGCTGAATATATCCTAAATTTGAGCGAAGGGTTCCCGAAGCTGCTTTTTTTTGTTTTCAACTGCCTGGGATTGGCAGCTGCTGTTCGGCTTTGTTGCCGGCGGATGCTGGCGGATGCTGGCGGGCTCGATTCCTCAAGCCCGGTGGTCTCACGTCTAGGGCTCCAATCAGGCCAAGGGCTCGGGTTTTATTGGAATTTGATGCAACATCTGCCATCGTGCTGCTCAAACCCACGCTGCACCCACTGTGCTTTGTTTGGGGCAGGTATTTTTTGTTGCTTTCAGGGTTGGCCACGTCCTTAGCGGTTGACCAGCAATTCGCGCATCGGGGCATAGGTCTAACAAATCTGGCTTGGCTCTTGCGGACGCCTCAGCTTGCCTCCGAACTGAATCACCGAATCATCCAAGGCCCAAGGCCCGAAACATCGCGAAGGTTCCCACACAAAACCATATGTTCACCAGGGGTACAGGGTTTTGACCCACATGTTGCGGAATTCAACACCATTTCATCACTGAGCTCAGCTGCTTTTCAATTACTGACTTCAGTGATTAGTAGTCACTGAAGTTGGCTCCTGATTGCTGAAGTCGGTGACTTTCAATAGCTGAGTTCAGTCCACTGCTCCACTGGCACAGCTTATCGGCGCTCATCGCTGAAGCAATTTGTTAGTTGGTGTTTGTGTGTGTGTGTAAACACCAATTTTCATGATCTGTGTCTTTGCTTCTGTTTTGTTGGGCAAGACATGCCCATGCATATGATTTAGGGTTTGGGCTATGATTTTGGGTTTAGGGTCAACCCTAAATCATGATGTGTTTCATGAGATGCCCATGGCATTGCCGCACATTTTTTTCCCGTGGCGCATCGAAAAAAGGACTCCAACCTGGAGGCGGAGATCAGTGAGCTGCGAGAAGAGCTGCAGATGATGGAGCAATTCCACGCAGCGGAGACTGAGTCCAGTCACAGGGCGAAGGAGGCGCCTCCGCAAGAAAACGAAACACAAGAACCACGGAGGTTCTACGCTTTAGAAGGGATTGAGACTGAGAGGGTTTCAATGGCCGTTTGAAGATGTGCCTTTTGTTTGCAATGCATTTTCTTCGGGCCTTTTGCCTGTTTGCATTCATGGCCTTTATGGCAGTTCGTCGGATCTTGCTTGCGGTTCGTGGCTCGTGGCTCGTGGGTTTCACTCAGCCCTAAGCTGCGTACTCCTTGACTGCCATTGGGTTGGATCTTTAGTTTAACTTCTTGGGAAATCAAGGGGCGTTGAACGCAACTCACAAAAGTTAAACCTTTTGCAGAGGGATCAGCAGCAACCAAGACGCCAACGGGTCTAGGAGCTGGCGAAGACAGAGGTCGCCTTGAGGACTGAGATCCAGGAGCCGAGTTGCAGTCGAACCGCGAGCCTCGAGGGTGTTTTAGCGACCAGCAAGCTTCGCCTGTGAGCCAAGCCAAAGCCCAAAAGCCCGAAAGCCCGAAACGAAACGTGTGCAAGAGAAGTTCCAGACATGTTGCGCGCCTTAGGTTCCTAGGTCTGTTGCCAACTAGGCAAGCAGAAAGCGCAATGAGCTTTGCTTTCCAGGAGGTTCAGGGTCTGCGTCGCGCGCTGGAAGCTCAACGAGGCGAGGCCAAAGAGCACAGACCATCGGGCCCAGGGAACATTTGGCTGGGAACATTTGGCTGGGTGACAGGTGCGGAAGTCAAGACCGAGAAGATAAAACCATCTGAAGAAGCTGAGACTGCTGAGAAGCCTGCCAAGGCCGAGAAGGCCTTTGCCGCTTGCTTGAGTCCATGTGTTTCGGCACAGTCGTTGAAATCAATACGCAGCGATGGAGAAGCCTGAAAAGGCTGAGACAGCTGAGAAGCCTGCCAAGGCCGAGAAGGCCTTTGATGCTTGCTTGAGACAATTTGTTTCTGCACAGTCGTTCAACATGCACCGGTGGAGAAACCTGAAAAGGCTGAGACAGCTGAGAAGCCTGCCAAGGCCGAGAAGGCCTTTGACGCTTGCTTGAGACAATTTGTTTCTGCACAGTCGTTCAACATGCACCGGTGGAGAAACCTGAAAAGGCTGAGACAGCTGAGAAGCCTGCCAAGGCCGAGAAGGCCTTTGACGCTTGCTTGAGACAATTTGTTTCTGCACAGTCGTTCAACATGCACCGGTGGAGAAACCTGAAAAGGCTGAGACAGCTGAGAAGCCTGCCAAGGCCGAGAAGGCCTTTGACGCTTGCTTGAGACAATTTGTTTCTGCACAGTCGTGGAACATGCACCGGTGGAGAAACCTGAAAAGGCTGAGACAGCTGAGAAGCCTGCCAAGGCCGAGAAGGCCTTTCCCGGTTGCTTGAGTCCATGTGTTTCTGCACAGTCGTTGAAATCAACGCAGCGATGGAGAAGCCTGAAAAGGCTGAGACAGCTGAGAAGCCTGCCAAGACCGAGAAGGCCTTTGACGCTTGCTTGAGACAATTTGTTTCTGCACAGTCGTTCAACATGCACCGGTGGAGAAACCTGAAAAGGCTGAGACTGCTGAGAAGCCTGCCAAGGCCGAGAAGGCCTTTGACGCTTGCTTGAGACAATTTGTTTCTGCACAGTCGTGGAACATGCACCGGTGGAGAAACCTGAAAAGGCTGAGACAGCTGAGAAGCCTGCCAAGGCCGAGAAGGCCTTTCCCGGTTGCTTGAGTCCATGTGTTTCTGCACAGTCGTTGAAATCAACGCAGCGATGGAGAAGCCTGAAAAGGCTGAGACTGCTGAGAAGCCTGCCAAGACCGAGAAGGCCTTTGCCACTTGCTTGAGACAATTTGTTTCTGCGCAGTGATTGAAATCAACATGCAGCCATGGCAGGTTGAGCCCAGGGAAAAAACGAAGGATGCGAAGAATGCGACTGCGCAGGATGCATCTGACAAGAAGGGCCTGAAAGCTACAAAGGATGTGTCAAAGGATGCGAAGGGCATGGAGTCAAAGAATGACGCCATCAAGAAGGAAGCGCTAGAGATGGCCAAACAAGAGCTACAAGGCGCGTAAGTGTTTCAAGCAATCGGCATGATGAGGGTTCAGCGAGGTGCGTTAAAAGAAAAGCAAGAGGCGAGAGACCGAGAGAGGGAGGGAGAGAGAGAGAGTCAGAGCCGCAGTTTTGTGTTTTACTCTCTTGGCTGTGGGTCAAGACCCTGTACCCCTGGTGAACATCAAAATAGGTGGCAATATGGATGTTTATCCACCCCAAAATGGAGCCATGGGTTATGTCCCATGGCCTCTTGACTATCTCTTGAGTCAGTTGGTGTCCTGAGAGGAGATCACCTCCTTGAAACGGGCCGCAGACCACCGGGCAGCGGAGCAAGCGCAGGTTCGAGGGTGGCCGGGGGGGGGGGGGGCGAGTCCGACCCTGGGTTTTTGTTGGCCCAGGAGCTGGCAGCATATGCCAACAGCGCCAAGCTGCGAGAGAGGCATCTGGTGGAGCGCATGGAGCACTTTGAGAGCTTGGCGCAAACGTCGCACCAGGCGGAGCGTCACCCAGTCACATCCTGTCACTCAGCCGGCAGATGACACAACCGCTTGGCAGGAAGCGAAGGTACAGTCGCGGGCAGAAGCCAAAGTCCAGTCGCAGGCCTGCTGGTGGAGTGCAAAAATTGCTCACGGAGTGCTCATTTGCTTTCCTCAGGAGTCTCCGCTACAGCTTCAGCCTTTGAAGACTGAAGTGGCAGAGCTAAAACTCTGGAAGGAGGAGGAGTGGCCTTTGGCACTGGGTGGTGGGTGGCCAGTGTCCCTTGTTTCCAGTCCTCTGGTGCTAAAACGCGCAGCGATGTCTGCCATTCCGGCCGTTCTGAAGGAGTTGGCCAAGCAGCGCTCGGAAGCGCGGCGCCTGGGCTCCGAGCGCGCCGAAGCCGAGAAGCTGAAGGCGCAGGCGGCCGCGCTCTTTGACGAGGCGGCTCGCATGCGTCGGCTTGCGCCGACCGCGTCGGTTTCGGATCAGTTTTAAGAAGACGGGTGTGGCTCAAAGTTCAACAGGGGCAAACCGCAGGTGTTGGTCCGTGTTTCCACTTGCCAGGGCAACCCATTTTAGAGTTCCGGTTTTTTGAGCCACAGCCGGATCGGTGGGGACTTTTTTTGGCTGAGAGAATGGGGTTCAAGAGAAGCAAGTCTATTTGAGCCCAGGCAGATCAAGAACGCCAGGAGCTTCAAAGGATGCGAGCCCTGAGCTTGCAGGACTGCTAGACTTGGCAGGTTCTCTCCTGTTGAAACTGCAATTGAGCCACCGTCAACCGGGAAGATGAAGACAAGGGATGCTCCCAACCATGAGTTTGGGTGCTGCCGTTTGATTCTTTACGTTTGATTCCGGGTCGACATATGTTAATACCTGGTGTTGTTCCTGCCGCAAAGGAGCCCAGCAGCCCTTCCAAAGCCAAGCATCTCGACCGCAGATTCGTTCGGACTGACGAGCGGGAGATGGGCAGGGGACGGCATGACTGAGACTCAGGCCGGCGGACTCAGAAATGCTGCGGACACTCGCTGCCCTACGCCCGGGGCTTAAAAAATCCGCGCATGCATGGCTCACGGGGTTATGTTGGGGGGAAGGTGACCAGGCCAAAAGAGGTTCATGAGGACATGGACTCAACCTCATTGCCGAAAACAGAACGTACTTCGGAGCTACCAGTTGTTGGATGCTCCAGATGAATTGCAACCAACACTGCTGCATGAGGCTATATTGATGCTCATTTATACCCGTGAGACGCGTTGGACACCCATTACATCGGATGCCTTCATGAGCAGAGGGCATCTGGTGAGCAAGAATGCCTTGTATTGTCATTCCAGCTAGCTGTTAATGCAAGATGGTCTGTGCAGACTGAACGTTTGCACCGCCTGGTATTTTCAAAACGGCTAAGCCGTTCTGAAGCCGTTCGTCGGATTTATCGCAAAAGAGCTTGAAGCTGCTGGGTTTTTTCTTGCCTTGAACATACCGACGCTTCATGACAAGCTGGACTCGACGGCGACAATGTATAACGATTGCTCTCGCTGGCAGATCTCCCAGATAGCCGACGATTGCGACCAAGTGAAACCCGAAGTCGTATTGAAAAAGCCAGAGACTGGCCACTGGCCAATCTGGGTGACGTGCGTTGACGACCCACGAGATCGATGTTCGGTCGGGAAGGGCTTCCCAGGCACGCCAGCGACCGGATCAGAACACGCGCTCTCGGTTGCTGTCTGTGTGGGCGCCCTTTTGTTCGGCCCAAGCTATTCTGCTATCCTCGAGGCTGACAATTCCTCAGCAGGTCTTTTAAGACCACCTTGGCCTAACTGGCCTCGATGTCGCATCCTATCCCCTCACCCCGACTCTCCGCCCAATCATGCGACCCAGCAGCTCGGCACGAATTGCTGCTGCCCATGCAAGTTGCGATCATTGTCTCTCTGTCGCGCTTGGGTCAGGTCAGCTGGACGAGCCCCTTACAAGCTACATTTCTATAAGTCCAGAAGATAGGTTTTGCTCATGTTGTTTGTCCTTTGCGCTTTTTCGCAGGCGTTATTTTCGGTGTGGGCCTCAGCGGGAAAGGCATGATGCTGCGCAGCCCCAAAATCCAACTGCGGCAATACGGTTGCTGGCAAAGCCAGTTCGACATACAAGGAAGATGTGAGCAGCAGGCAGCACCGAGCGTTGGACAAGTGGCAGCGCCCGGCGGAAAAAGGATGGTAGCAGGCAGCTCAAAGCCTTTCGGGAGCGACCCGGCGGGCATCCCACACGCAAAATTCCCGGATTTCGCTCAAGGAGTCAAAAATGCAGGCAGACGGAAATGGGCGCCGCACGGGCAAAGACAAGTTTCTGCAATGCAGTGCGCGGTTGATCAGCTCGGCTTGCGCAAGGCGTTGCATGCGCGTGCGTGATCCTGCACGCTATGAAGCTAGGGGAGCAGGGAGCGGCGCTGAGTCATGATGAATTACTTAAGTACTCAGCCCGCCTGGCGTATAGCTGTTGAGACAAAGGCGAGCTGGGGCTGCGCTCCAACACATTTGGTGTGCAGATCCTTCTGCGCGCCGTGGGTCGGCGCACTCGTCGCATTTGCTGTGAAGGCCGCGGGCGCAAAACGTGCAGGGCCGACGTCAGCCAACGGGCTCGCAAAAAAATCTGGCTCCACGGCCCCTGCGCCGCGCAGCGGTGCCTCGTTGTTCTCAGCGATCTTTCGCGGGCTTCTAGTGGAGATGACGCCTAGCGACTGGCGCCTTCAAGGCGGAACCCCCAAATACAAGACGTGGACTCTGAGCAGCGCAAGGACTTACGCGACTGGGAGTGGCACGCATGTCAAAGGAGTGCTGGTGCTGGATTTACCAGTGAGATCTGGGGTCTAGGAACTTCTCAAGGTGTTGTCATAGCGCAGTCGGGCAGCATGGGTGCAAGCAGGAGAGTATGTTTCTCCAATCGTTCAATGATTGCAATGATCTCAAGCAAATCAAGTCTGCTAATTCAAATGGCGGCAATTTGTTTGCAGCTCATGGAAAGAAGACAGCTTTTGCATCTGTAGAAGACTATGGCTGTTGGTTGCAATTTGACTGCAGCTGTTCTGCTTCATGGAAGAAAGAGACGGCTTGTGAGAACAAGCTCTTACTATTTTACTATCAACAACATTCTATTTTCAAATGGGGCAACGAAGGAAGGCGCATTACAAAACAGATTGATAGGATGCTGTTGACTTTCAGTTGTAAGAAATGTTGCCTCTTCAACATTCCCAACGATTCCTAGGAACATGTTTTCAAAACGCCTTCAACAAACACAAACCAAACGCCTTGCACAAATAACTATCTAAAGCCAAGGGATTGCTGAGAGGGCTTGCTTGCCTTGAATTGAGCGGTGGTTGTTTGATCAAACGACAGGGTTTATGCCTGTTTACACAAACGGGAACCGCATGTACTTTGCGGAGGCAATCCTGGTTGGAGGGGGGGGGGTTAGGCTCACGTAGGTAGGCTGTTGTGTCACCACCTTGCGTAGGCTTTTCTCGTAGGCATGTTTTGAACGAAACATGCTTCAATGCAGTTTGCAAAAAAAAGGGAGGTTGTCGCCAGAGCCGATCTCCTCGCCAAGTTGGCTGTTGGCTTGGGATTGGGCGGCTTGTTGCCGTGCGAAAGCTGTCCGGTGGCGTGCGGGGGTTGGCGGTTGGCGATTTCTTGCGGCGGCTTGTGTCCCGAGCCTGGGGTTTGCCGATCACTTTGATGCTGCGTGTCGCCCACTCAGCGAGACCGCCATGTCCTTGTAAAACCGTAGCGGTAGCCCGGCTGGGACTCGAACGAGCGCAACGCAAAAAAGAAGAACACACACACACAGACACACAGACACACAGACACACAGACACACAGACACACAGACACACAGACACACACACACACACACACACCCACACACACACACAGACACACACACACACACAGAC